CTGGGGGGCTTGGGGGGGGTGGTACAGACAGACACATTCCCGTGTTGGTATCTACGGCTAACAACGACGGACGGTCTCCCAGAGGAACAACCACCATTACCTCTGGAGAGAGCTACAACTTACGTCCACATATTATTTAAAAAAAAAAAAAACAACCCAAAAAGCATATGACTCTAGCATTCCGAGCTAAAATTGCGACTCCAACAACTCGGCTAAATGTTGAGAAATGCTGGGCTTAGTGGATCTGACGGTCAGCCGGTACATCTGGGGGGAGAGGAGAAAAAACAAAACAACGTGTGAGACAGGAGTTTTTTAGTTATAGTAGAGGTTTTTCTACGCTCGCAACTGCATAAGGTCATATGAGCGCCAAGGGGTGGATGTCAACAGAGAAGTCCTTCCAAGGAATCAAGACTTACTCGGCTCACCTCTCTAGCCTCAACAGCACAAAGTCTGCTTCCACTATCAAGGCACCCCCAGAAATAGAGTTATGAGAATGACATTGATGAATCAGCCCATTTACAATTACAATTCTACTGTGCATAAGAACTCGAGATGTTTATGTCCCCCTCTTTGGGAATGGCCTAAGGACACTTCAGTCAGTAGCACCGGCCCGGGGGGTACCGGATAGATTGCTAGCTACAGTGTTTGGGAGAGACAGACAAGAGAGATCAACACACAAAAGGGAAGGGTATATATAAATAACTGAAATAAAAGAAAAAGAAGGCTATATTTTAAAACAGATGAAAAAGGAGGCCGTATATCATTAAATCCAAAATAAAAATAAAGGCAATAAGAAAAAGAACGCTTAAATTAAATGCAAAAGAAAAAAATTAACATGGCTAAAATAAGATACAAACGGGAAAAAAGGGGGAAAGCATTTTTAAATACGAAAGAAAAAAGAAAGCTATGATTTTTTTTCAAAGACGCCCCTTCAACACTCAAATGTGCTAAACACAGTGTCCATCAACACAGGCGGCCAGTCTCATTTGAGCCAAGAGCAGAGTACACCTTTTTTTTCTGTGAGCGTGCACAAGCACACAAAGACACACGGTAAGACACGAAGACACACACACACCACGTACCTGCATCTGTTTGTTAGGCTCCAGTCGGACTAGACAGCCCACCTGTTGACTGCGAGTGTGCAGGATGGCAGACGACACAAAGTTGTCCGGGTTCGGGTCGATCTTGTCCAGCGAGCTCAGGCCAAAGCCCAAGATCTGCACAAACAAACAAACAAATGAACAAAAAACCAATTAAACAATGTGTGCAGCAAAGACTTCTCACGGGAAAAAGAGCCTAAATATACGAGTCAACCCGGTAGATTCTGGCACTCTAGGGAACGGAGAAGTCAGTATTTTTCCGACTCCTGGGAGAGTGCCAAGGGGTGGATGTCAACAGAGAAGTCCTTACGGGGAATCAGACTTACTCTGCTCACCTCTCTAGCCTCAACAGCAAAAAGTCTGCTTCGACCATCGAGGCACCCCGGAAATAGCAGGTCACAAGAGAGTGACATACATACAAAAGAAGTAGAGGAAAATGATGCTAGTTAGGATTAGGAAAGAAAAAGCAGCAGTTCCCTGTTGCAGTTCAGGCACAGTTATGAGCATGACCTTGATGAATCAGCCCATTTACAATTACAATTCTACTGTGCATAAGAATATGATTATTTTGTTTTAGTTTAGTTTTAGTAGGTGTTTTACGGCACTTGCAACACAATAAGGTCATATAAGTGCTGAAGGGTAGAGGTTTTACAAGAGAGTAACAAACACAAAAAAGGAGGAGAGATAAAGATGAAAGACGTTTGATAGGAAAGAAGGAGCAAACCACACCAGAGCACCCATCAACCAGAGAAGCACATGGACACAATAACGGTCACACAGTGCAGGGAGGAAGCAAGACGGACAGAAACAACAGAGGGGATGAAAAGAAGTAGGACCTACCAGTCGTATCATTCAGTAAAGTTTGTAATATAATCAAACTGAAGTTTCATGTCCTTATTTTCGGCAATTTTGGAACTAGCAACAATTTGGTTTTCAAAGATAGAAATACACACACATACACACATCCAGGTCCTACACACACACACCCACCCACTCACACATCTAGCTCCTACACACACACACACACACACACACACACACACACACACACACACACACACCCCCACACACACACACACACACACATCCAGCTCCTCCAACAACAGTGTCCTCCTCACCTTCACTTTCACCTGCTCCGTGTCTTGTGGGAACTGAGCCTTGAAGATTTTCTGACACTCCTGACCCGGCCTGGGGGAAGAAAGAAGCAATTTACAACAATAGACTTGTTTGTTTGTGTGTGTGTTTGTTTGTTTGTTTGTTTGTTTAGAGAGAAAGGCAGGGAGGGGGAGAGAGAGA